ATGCGCCAGCTGCAGCAAAACTGTTTTGATTTGAAGTTTTATTTTATTTATTTATTTATTTTCTTTTTTTCTTTTCATTTAACTCCACAGGCAGCGCCGGAGGGCCTCTGCAGCAGCACGCAGCAGCAGACCAAGGCCGCCCCCCCGACCCGCCTGTAGACCAGCAGCAGCAGCAGCAGCAGCAGCAGCAGCAGCAGCTGCTGCTGCTGCAGCCAAAAGCTATGAAAATAAGCGTCTGAAGCAGCAGCAAAGCTGCAGCAGCACAGCCTGCGCTTTCTCTGCAGCTGCTGCTGCTAAACCCGGAGAAAGAGAAAAAAGTTTCCCTCAGCACACTCTGCTGCTGCTGCTGCTGCTGCTGCTGCTGCTGCTGCTGCTGGTCCGGCTGCTGCCAGCAAACACTGCCTATTCCTTTTTCACGAATAAAGGAGCAGCAAATAAACAAACAAATAAATAATAAATAATAAATAATAAATAATAAATAATAAATAATAAGTAAATAAATAAATGGGGAATAATAAATGAATGAATAAATAATTAATGAGAAAAGAAATAAAAGAGAAGACCAAAGAAGGCCCCTAAATGGCCAACACTACTACAGAGGAAGTAATTACGCATGCAGCATTTCCTTAACCTGCAGCAGCAGCAGCAGCTGCTGCTGCTGCAGCTGCTGCTGCTGCTGGACTGCCGCTGCTGTCGCTGCGATCTGCATCCGCTGCTGCTGGCCTGGCGGTCAGCAGCAGCAGCAGCAGCAGCAGCAGCAGCAGCAGCGACGTTGCAGCTGAGCTACAAGCTGCTGCTGCACCTGCCTTCTGAGCCCAGGGCTTTACTGCAGCAGCTGCTGCTGCAGCTGCTGCAGTAAAGCCCAGGGCTTTACTGCAGCAGCTGCTGCTGCTATTTCTTCTTTTTGTTGCTGCTTTTGTTGCTGCTCCCCGCTTCTAATTTTACGCTGCTTCTCTTTGCTGCTGGTGTCTGCTGCTGCCTTTAGTGTCGTCTTTTGCTGCTGCATCTTGCTGCTGCCACTGCAGCAGCAGCAGAGCCGGTGGCCTAAGCTGCAGCAGCAGCTCATCTCAGCTGCAGCAGCAGCTTTCAGCTGCAGCAGCAGCACAGTGGCCGCAGCTCCACCCGCGCGAGCTGCTGCAGCAGGTTGCTGCCCTGCTGCAGCAGCCCCCGCAGCACCCCCAGCACCCCCCGCAGCAGCAGCAGCAGCAGCAGCAGCAGCAGCAGCAGCAGCAGGGTCAGTAAAGGCTGCTGCAGCAGCTATTGGACTTCTTGGCTTGTCTGTAAAACTGATAAGAAGTGCTCGAAAGGTCTTCGCTGCGCTGCATCAAATCTTCCAGCTTTTCTCCCCGCTGCAGCAGCTCATCTATGTTGCGCAGCATCACTCCTTTCACCTGCAGCAGCAGCAGCAGCAGCAGCAGCAGCAGCAGCAGCAGCAGCAGCAGCAGAGAAGGCAGCAGCAGCAGCAGTAGCAAGGGCGGCAGCAGCAAGGGTGGCAGCAGCAGCATCAAAGGCAATGAAAGGAATGAGAACAGCAGAAGCAGGAATAATAAAGAAAACAGCAGCAGCAGCAGCAGCAGCAGCAGCAGCAGCAGCAAAGGCAGCAGCAGCAGCAGCTGCTGCTGCTGCTGAAGAGAGAAAGGGAGGAAAAATGTCAAGAAAAAACAAGAGAGACAAAAGCAGCAGCAGCAGCAAAAAGGCAGATTGTGCTTCGAGGTGTGGATTATGTCCTTTCTGTTTTGCTGCAGCAGCAGCAGCACCTGCAGCTACTGCATTATCTGCTGCTGCACCATCTGCTGCTGCAGTAGCTGCTGCTGCAATGTCTGCTGCTGCTGCTGCTGCTGCACTATTACTCTGCGCTTGCACACAGGCCATCATTAGCTGCATCTACTGCTGCTGCTGCTGCTCCTACTGCCGGTTCTGCTGCTACTGCTGCTCTTACTACTGCCGCTTCTGCTGCTGCTGCTGCTGCTGTTGCTGCTGCTGCTGCTGCTGCTGCTCCTAATATTGCTACCGCTTCTGCAGCTGCTCCTACTACCGCTTCTGCGCTGCTGCTGCTCCTACGACCCTTTCTGCTGCTGCTGCTGCAGCAGTGTCTGCCGCTGCCGCTGCTGCCCCTACTACCGCTTTTGCTGCTGCTCCTGCTGCTCCTACTACCGCTGCTGCTGCTGCTGCTGCTGCTGCCCCTGCCATTACCGCTTTCGCGCTGCTGCTGCTTCTACTACCCTTCCTACTATCTCTGCTGCAGCAGCAGCTGCTGCTGCTGCTGCTGCTCCTACTACCGCTCCTCCTGCCGCCCCTACTACCGCTTTTGCTGCTGCTGCTGCTGCTGCTGCTGCTACTGCTCCTACTACCACTCCTACTGCCGCTCCTACTACCGCTCCTGCTGCCGCTCCTGCTGCTGGTGCTGCTGCTGCTGCTGCTACTACCGCTCCCGCTGCCGCTCCTACAACCCTTCTGCTGCTGCTGCTGCTGCTGCTGCTACTACCGCTCCTGCTGCCGCTCCTACAGCCCTTCTGCTGCTGCTGCTGCTGCTGCTACTACCGCTCCCGCTGCCGCATCTAAAACCCTTCTGCTGCTGCTGCTGCTGCTGCTGCGGCTGCTACTACCGCTCCTACTGCCGCTCCTACAACCCTTCTGCTGCTGCTGCTGCTGCTGCTGCTGCTGCTGCTGCTGCTGCTGCTAACCTCGTCGAGGTCCTGCTGCACCTTGAGGAGTTTGTCAGCCTCAACTGGGTTTTTGTATTTCTCCAGCAGCAATTTGCTGCTCGGCAGCAAATCGGTCTTTGCGTCAGCAGCAAGATTTCGCCACGCACTTTCGTCCACCTGCAGCAGCAAATTAATTAATTAAATTAATTAATTAATTAATTTAATTAATTAATTTAATTAATTTAATTTAATTAATTTAATTTAATTAATTTAATTTAATTTATTTAATTTAATTAGTTTAATTAAATTCGATTGGATTTTCATTTGGTTGAGTTTGTTTGTGGAGTTGGAGAGGAGTTAAATTAAATTGAAAAAAGTTTGGAGAATTTTGAAGAAATAAAAATAAATTAAATTAAATTAAAAAAAATTAAAATAAATAAATTAAATTAAATTAATTAAATTAAATTAAATTAAATTAAATTAAATTAATTAAATTAATTGAAGCAAAGGAGGCCTTTAAAGAGGCATTTAAGGTCTTTGAAGAATTAAAAATTTATGTGGCATTTAAGTTGCTGCAGCAGCAGCAGCAGCAGCAGCAGCAGCAAAATTGAAACAGCACCGGGAACAGCAGCAAAAGCAAGAACAGCACACCAAAAAAGAGCAGCAGCAGCAGCAGCAGCAGCAGCAGCACTTGCAGCAGCCGCATCACTCACAGCAGCAGCAGCACTCGCAGCAACATCACTCACAGCAGCAGCAACCACATCTTTCACAGCAGCAGCAGCCACACAACTCACAGCAGCAGCAGCAACCACACCCCTTGCAGCAGCAACAGCAGCAGCAGCCACGCCACTCGCAGCAGCAGCAGCAGCAGCACTCCCACTCCCCGCAGCAGCAGCACCAGCAGCAGCAGCAGCAGCAGCAGCAGCAGCGGACCTGCTGCATCTGCTTGAGGGCCTCGTTGAGAAGCCCGAAAGCAACTCGAAGAGGATAATTGAAAGAAGTCAAAGCGCAGCAGCAAAAAGAAGAAAAATTATTAAAAACAAAACAGCGACCCAAACCCTTTTCAAACTCCACCGCCTGCCGACGCCCAGGGGGAGTCCGCGCTGCTATCAGCCTGCAGCAGCAGCAGCAGCAGCAGCAGCAGCAGCAGCAGCAGCAGCAGCAGCAGCAGCAGCAGCGGCAGCAGCAGCAGAGCAGCAGCAGCAGCAGCAGCAGCAGGAGAGGTAGGGGGGAGTTTGTTTGGGTGGTGGAGGCGGGTTTGTTTTGCTGCTGCTTTGGTTTTTATTTATTCTAAATGTATTGCTGCCAATTTGCTGCCAAGTTGCTGCTAATTTGCTGCCAAGTTGCTGCTAATTTGCTGCTAGTTTGCTGCCAATTTGCTGCAGAGTTTGCTGCAGTGTTTGCTGCAGTGTTTGCTGCTGCTGTTCAGCAGCAAGAGCCCGAGGTGCCAGAAGCAGACAGCAGCCAAAAGAACGCGCGCAGCACTGCAGCAACAGCAGCAGCAGCAGCAGCAGCAGCAGCAGAAGGAAGCTCTGCGCTTGCTGCTGCTGCTGCTGCTGCTGCTGCTGGAGGGTTTGGAGTGTCTGTACACCTGGAGTGGAAGATGATGTGCTCCTTCATTGTGGATCTGTGGAAGAAAGGAAAAGAAGAAACGTCGACAGCAGCAGAGAGCAGCAGGGGCTTCTCGGGGTCCCATTTGAAGATAATTAAGGCGTAAATGGTGGACTTTTCGGGGCCCCCGCCCTCGCTGCTGGCCGGCACTCCTGAGTCTGTCATTTCTGGCGTTTTTAAATTAAAAAATGAATTAAATTTGGCGGAGAAATCGAAAACGGAAGCGGACGCAGCTGTCTGTACACCCCACGGCCGACGCTGCAGTGACACTGCAGGCGACCCGAACCCGCGGCTCCCAGCGCCTCTTTCGCCCTTTTCTTTCGCAGTTTTATTAATTTTGATCTTTTGTTTTCATTTAATTGCTTTTCAGCAGCTCGCGGCGACAAAAACGACCCCGAAAGCCCGCCAGCAGCAGCAGATTCCGGCAGCCGCCGCTCGGGGCCCCAGCCGGTTAGAAACACCTGCGGCGCTCTCCACCGCCTTTTTATTCCTTTAAACCCCCAACAAGTCTTTTAAATCTTTTTAATTCTTCCTTTTTAATTGAAAAAGAACTTTTAACCTTTTTTTAGCCGCCAGCAGCAACCGCGAGGCCCCCGGGGGCCCCCAGCAGCAGCCGCCCTGCGCTCGTAAACCCTAAACCCTAAACCCTAAACCCTAAACCCTGAACTTCTCCCCTGCGCCAAACCCTAAACCCTTTCTCCCACTTCTTTCGGCTTTATTCCTAAACCCTAAACCCATCCCCTC